CCCTCCCCCTCCCCCTCCCACTGGCACGAGCGTATAATCCCAGCCAGACATACACACAGTTTGACTGGGCCTATAATCCCATCCCTCTGGGAGGCTGAGGTGGAGGACCGCATGTTTGAGCCCAGCCTGGGCAACTTGGTGACTCAGTGAGATCCTGTCTCAGAATGAAAATTAAAACATGGCTGCAGAAGTAGGTCAGGCCCTGGGTTCAACCCTGAGTACCAGGAAAATAAAAATAGTTCATGTAACTTTTCTCCCTTAACTCATGAATAAAATAGATTATTAATACCTTTGGCCCCGCTGACATAGTCACATTTTACTTGTTAATATTTTTGTCGTGCCACTGAAAGACAGTCTTAAAAAGCCTTGTGTTAAAAAAAAGCCTTGTGTTGTACTTATCAGCATCTGCTGTTATGTGAAAATATTTTAAAGTTCCTAAATGTTCATTTTCTAATATGTAACATGACTATAACCAGCCCTTTATTATAAGTTTTACTTTTTTAAATTTAGTTTTAGGTTTCCATTCTCTAACACATCAGCCATAGAGAAATAGAATTTTAAATTCCGGGGTAGCAAATCAAAATGTCAGATAAGAGCAACTGCACATTAATCTTGATGTTTGAAATTTATGAATATTTTTCAGAAATAAATACATGGGTTTATTGTGGTAGAACATCTGTGTAGAGGTGATTGTTTCTGATTAACTTTTACTTTTCTGTTGAAATTATATTCTTAGAATGTGTTCTTTTTTTTTCCTTCCTTGAAATGATTTCTGTAATAGGCTGCTAATGCCAGTGAAAAAACGTTTGTGGAAGCATTGTTTCAGAGAGAGTCACTTGTCCGACAGTGTCAGGTACGGTTAGAATACTTTGATTTTTTTTTTTTTTTTTTTTTAAATCATGGAGAACCAGGCATGGTGGCACACTCCTGGAATACTGGCACTCCAAGGCCAAGCAGGAGTATTGCTGCAAGTTCAAGGCCAGCCTGGATGACATAGCAAGATCCAGTCTTCAAAAAAAAAATGGAGAAAAGATAGGAAGTGTTGAAATTTTTTTTAATTAAAAAAATTTAAAATGTTTTCTTAATTTGATTTCAACTTAATCTGTTTATTTGTAGTTAAAATTATAAATTTTGTAATTCGAATTTGGAAAATAGTTTCTTGATTTTTAAATGACAACCTCAGGAGTAGCCTGTCAAAACCTGTATTTTTATTCTTTTACTGTGATATTTATCTTAAAAATGTAAAAATGGTGGTTGGAAAAGTTGTTGCTTGATTCTTTTGGGGGCGGGGGGCGGTGGGGTTTGTCTTTTTGAGACAGGGTCTCACTATGCAGTTCAGGCTGGCCTTGAGCTCACTTTGTAGCGCAGGCTGGTCTCAAACTCCAAAACAATCCTCCTGCCTCAGCCTCCCAAGTGCTGGGATTACAGGTGTGTGCCACCATGCCCGGCCAGTTGCTTGACATTTTTAAGTCAGAACCTGAAAGCTGGGCGCAGTGACTCAGGCCTGGAACCCCAGCCTCTTGGAAGGCTGAGCAAGGTAAGAGGACCGGCCGTGAGCTCAGTTCCAGTCTGGGTGCTTAGCAAGGCTCTGTCTCAAAGTAAAAATGAAAAAATGGGCTGAGGATGGAGCTCAAGGTAAAGGCCCTGGGTTCAATCCTCCATACCACCAAAAAGAAAAAAAACGGGGAGTGATTAAGGACAGGAGTACCGCTATAAATAAAACACTCGGGTATTATGGGTGCTGCTAATCTTTTCTTCCCCTAGATGGTGGTGGATTGGTTAGAGAGTATTGCCAAAGAAGAAATTGGGGATTTTCCAGATAATATTGAATTTTATGCAAAGTCAGTATATTGGTAAGTCACTACGCTTTTACACTTGAAGTCCTTAATGTTTATTTTTTTATTCATCTTTCAATAAAAATTTACTGTTTTTGCTTTGTTTAAATTGTGAGCAGAACAGATAATGCTTTGCCTTGTAGAATTTACAATTGTTTAAAAGAGTTAAATGGCAAATGAATTGTGATTAAGAGCAGTGGGAAAAAATAGCGTTAATGGATACAGAATGACCCGAGTACAGTATAAGTAGAAGAGGTGATCAAGGAATGCTTCTGTCAAGAAATCATGAGCACTAAGGCTTTTAAGAAATAAAGAAGGGCTGGGCATGGTGGCACATGCCTATAATCGGCACTGGGGAGGCTGAAGCAGGAAGATCACTTCAAATTTTGAGGCTAGCCTGGGCTACATAGCAAGACCTTCCTCAAAAAACAAAAACAAAACAAAATTAAAAAATCAAAGAAATAAGGCTGGGCATGGCTGGCATATGGCTGGTCCCAGCTACTGAGGCTGAGGCAGGAAGATCATTTGAACCCAAGAGTGCAAGTTTAGCGTAGATAACACAGTGAAAGTAAAGGGACAAGAGGAATAGAGTAAGTTGTATGGAAATTGGGAAAGTGTTCTGAGTAGGAACAAAGCCACAAAGACTTCGGAAGGGTCAGGTGTTTGCATGTGGAGGCTGATGTGAACGCAGCGAGGAGAAGTGGGCAGGGAGTCTGGGGAGCCAGAGGGTGGTGTCAGGCTCACAGGCAGCCGTTGTGAGCATTTTGGTTCTGAAACAAGGTCTTGCTATGCAGTTGACACTGGTGTTGAACTCACTACATAGCCCAAGCTGGCCTCAAACTCACCGAAATCCTCCTGCCTCAGCCTCCTGAATGCTGAGATTACAGGCGTGCCCCACCATGCCCCCAAATCATTTTGGACCTTATTGTAAATACCACGGGAAACCTTGAAAATGAAAGAGTACTGTGGTCCAGGTTATGTTTTCAGTCATCTTGATAGTTTTTTCTTTTTTAAATAACCCTAATTGATCATCAAGAAGACAATTCTACCATGTGTTAGACTGCTTGTTTTTTGGGTTTTTTCCCCCGAGTCCTGCTGTCTAAATTACTGTAGGGCCTTGAAGTCAAAAAATATCCTAAGTAAAGGACAATTTATATGTCACACTTGGACAACCTCAGACCGCCTTCAAATTCAATAACATGCATGTATGTACCAAGTCTGTAGAATTAAATCTTGAGTAATTACGATTTTCCTGAAAGAGAAAAATTTTCATTAACTTAGATTTTTCCTGTTAGGGTTTTTGTAACTTTTCCATGAGTTAGTCTTGTTTTTGTTTTGTTTTTTGAGACATGCTCTTGCTATGTAATCAAGGCTGGTCTCAAGCTCACCATCCTCCTGCCTCAGCCTCCCACACACTGGGATTACACGGTATATGCGCCATGCCCTGCAAACCCTAAACATACCACAGTCCTGTGATGGCTCGGTTTTCAGCTAGGACACCAGAGCAGCCCAGGGGGAGTGGACTGTGAAAGTGTATCCTGTCTGTCTGTGTGGAAAAGATGAGCCCCGGCAGCATCCGCACGCTGCACCTCACAGCCCGAGAAGACCGCAGTCCCCGGTGTAAAGGCTCCACCCTGCGCTTCAGACAGAGAACGTAGGAATGTGTCTCCATGCCTTCAGAGATGGATCCATGTCTCAGGTTATAGAAAGTGACGGTCGAGAAAAAGAATCGGGTGTGAGGGCGACCTGGCTGCGAGTTCCATCACCCCACCGATGGCCAGGGTTGATTCGGCGATCTGATGGGTGTCCCTTCCGCTCTGCCCAGCCTGCGTGTCTCTCAGAGCTGCGCCCTCAGGCTCGGGCGAAGAGGACGAGCACCTGCCGTGGAGGAGGACCGCGTGGCCAAGAGCGCAGGAGCAGCCGCTCCCCTGCCAGGACCCGCGCACACGCTCTCAAGGACCGCGTGGCCAAGAGCTCAGGAGCAGCCGCTCCCCTGCCAGGACCCGCGCACACGCTCTCAAGGACCGCGTGGCCAAGAGCTCAGGAGCAGCCGCTCCCCTGCCGGGACCCGCGCACACGCTCTCAAGGACCGCGTGGCCAAGAGCGCAGGAGCAGCCGCTCCCCTGC